GCTGTATAGTGAAGCAAAATCCGACAGTGACCAGATAAAGACTGCCTTAGTTATAGCCTTTGCTACCAATTCATTTCATCCTGGGTATGACGATAAACTACATCCACGTCCTGGGTAAGATGATAAACTACGTCCAACAGCAAGGCCTATGATCAGGAGGTTTTGAAGAGCGTGGAACCACCTCTTAATTGCTGGTGTTCCCAGGTCCACCATGACCCGGGGTGGTAGCACTTGTTAGGGTCCCAGCTATGGGCAAATAGTTAAAACCCAAACTTGTGTAAAAATAGGTTTTAATACCAGAAATACTTTGTAATAAAAATTATTACCAGCAATAATTTTTGAAGGAAAAATTATTATCAGCAATAATTAAAAAAAAAAATACCAGCAATACAAACAGTTATACATTCTTTGAAAAAAATATGACCAGCTATAGATTTCTTCAGGGAAAAATATTTCCAGAAATAGATTTTTGAAGAAAAACATTTTACTAGCAATAAAACTTTTGTCGGCATTAAATAACCCATTGAGGTTGATATGCCGTAAAACAAAACAAACCAAACCAAACCAAACCAATTCATTCATGGCGTACGAACAACTCATTGAGTGGCACCTGTAGTACAGTGAATCTGCGGATGTATACCTGGCTGAATTGAAGAAACTCACGTTCTTGTTGGGTGGGATGTGTATGCTGGCTTGGGCATTTGTGCACAGGTTGCCAGGTGATGTAAAACAGATTGCAGCATGGAAGCAGTGCCCCATACAAGAAGTCGTTTACTGGTATAATGCAATATCAAAGGATGACATGTTGAGTCCAACTGCACTAGCTAACACTTCATACTTATGTGGTTAGGCTCAAAGGCATTGATGCTGTAACTGCACTAACACCATTGGCAGAGTACAAGATATATAAAGTTTGAGACGTGGTGTGGATGAGAGCACCCCAGAACCAATGTACCTCCAAATTTACAACCGGGAATATCACTGGGATAATCAGTCCACAACCTGCCCTGATTGATGGTGTGCTGCTCTGACCAGCATGGGACCAATTCTCTGCTATAAATGATGCTGATGATTCATCCATGAGTAATGGAGAGTTGGAAGTAGATTACCAGGTTTTTGACACGCCTCCTGCTGTGGTGAAGATGAATAGCAACGAAAGTCATAATGAAGTACTTCCCTCACATGGTAGCAACAATGAGGATGAAGTACCTCCCCCATATGATGTAAACAATGATGATGAAATAGCTCCCCTGTGAAGGAGTGCCAGAAGTAAACGCCCACCCCTTGCACATTGGTGCTGTGATCAGGAGATCAACGGAAGTGTAGCAGAGAATCAGGTCAAAGAGACTCAGAATCAGGTCAGAGACTCAGAGTTGGTTGCATGTGGTGCTGTAGGGATTTCGCATTATTTATCATCTCTCAGTTGCGTCTCTGTCCTTGGACAGAGTGCGCTCAGGGGCTTCTCTGTCTGAGGACAGAGGGGCAACTAAGGAAAATTATACTGAAGAAGTGCCCAGCCCTGGGGAACAGCTGCCTGAGGCCATGCCCTCCCATTACACAAGAGGGAGGGATCAGTGCTCGCAGCAACGGTTGTGGGGGCTGAGGGAAATTTTTGTCCCCGCCCGAGCGTACGCACTCAGGTCCCCACATTAATCCGACCTTGTGTCACATCTCATTCTCATGGGGGAATGAGTAAACACTGCTGTAAGCACTAGGAGTTACATCCTTTCATAATGGGTTGTTGAGAGAAGACCTTCTAGTTAGAGTCGGTGGTACTGACTATTTGCATATGAATGATACCAGGCAGGTATTAGCCAATAGTCAGCATGGGTCTGGGACTGGGAGAGCTATATAACACCAGGAGTTGTCTCCCCTTCCACAATGGGCTGTTGAGAGAAGACCTTCTAGTTAGAGTAGGTGGTACTGACTATTTGCATATGAATGATACCAGGCAGGTATTAGCCAATAGTCAGCATGGGTCTGGGACTGGGAGAGCTATATAACACCAGTTTTTCCTCAGTTGAGACAGCGCTCTCACTGTGTAGACATGTGAAAACCAGACTAGACAAAGAATCATAGTTATGGTGGATTGATATATTTAAAAAAAAAAAGTCATAATCAAGATCACTTTTGTATTTAAATATAAGAAAAGTAATCATATTTTCTTTATGGTAGATTGATATATTTAACAAAAGTCATAATCCAGGCAAGTTTTCTACTTCACTACAATCAAAAAATTATATTTTCTTTATGAAAGTTAAATTTATAATCCATTCCAATTTCATAAACTCATGTTAAAGAAGTCATCCCAATTTATATCCAATTCCTATTTTCCAAAAGAGAACAAATGCCATACATTAAAAATAAAGAAAAGAAAAAATCTATTACAAATAGATTGATTTTTTTTGCTATAGAAACAAAATATGTAAAGGGACATATCAAACATTATTCAGGCAATCAAATTACATCTTTTCTTCTTTGCTGTTGCTATCATGATACTGTAAGCATTTTGAAAGCAAAGGAAATGTTTGTCGCAGATTAATTCCACAATGCAGAGAACAAATCACTGTAAGTTCAGATTTGAATATCGGGGACAGAAAGAAATGCCGAAAACTCGATTCGCAGGTACTGTCTCACAAATACCAATGCACATGACCAGTCAGAAAAATAACTCACTCTCCAACGAACGCGGTAGCCAAAATACATCAATTTTTTGCTCTCGATTCGAGAGCACCAACTGCTTTTATTGGCCGAGCATTTTTTTCATTCATCAACAACTGGAAGAGGATGCCAAATTTTTGCATATCAAAATACTTTTATAGCGACTCCTGCAACGAAGTGGGTTTTTTAATCTAAATATTCCATCTTCAGCATGTCATGCGGAATATGTGTCCTTTTTTTTGGTAAGTAATTTTCTTTTCCGTCGTGGGATATATACGACGCGCTGTCGCTTGGTTTGACGAGGTAAGTCACCGTTTTCTTCGCTATAGATACTGTGAGGAAAATGAAATAAAACCAGTAAATAAAATAATAATAATGAATAAAAAAAACTTATTTTCCCATAATGCAACTTATAAAGAAACTGGAGAGTGTTTCTGGTCATATATGTGATTTTATGACCCACTTCCTTTTTCTCATCTTGGCTTCCCTTAAAACTTCTTAACAAATATACAGAGTGAGTTGTGTATCTGAATAATGTTGGATATATTAATGATTCTGCCAAAAGCTATAAACAATTTCATAAGACAATTGGTATACAAACCTTTGCTCAAAAGGAGACTGAAAAATATTTTTGGTCAATAATTGATATAGCAGTCTCATTTTATTCAAAAGATCACAATAAGAATGGTGTCTACAAAGTATAGAAAGCTGTATCTGGAATAATTCATTAGTTGAAAGCCAAGTAAAAGAAATTATTTTGTTACATATATAACCCATGTATTTGCATTTAATATTATAGTACAGTGTAACCCGGATATAAGAGAGTTGTCGGGACCGGAGAAGAAGTCTCTTATATCTGGGTTTCTCTTATATCCGGGTTTGGTCTATTTTATATACATTAACACAAGCTCTAATTTGGGACCAGAGAAAATCTCTCTTATATCCGGGTTACATTGTATTATGGAGTGAGGCTAGGTACAAGTACTGGTAGTCTATGTCATCTGGGTAAACAATTAGCCTACCAGATCTGGTTAGGGATTACTGTATATTGTTGACATTTATCTCAGTACAACTTATTATTTGAAGAGGAGATTTAGTTATATGCCATGTGTGATACATGCTTAGGCAATCATGTACCTTTTGATACATGACTGACAAGGCAGATTTTTCCCACAGTGGGTTGCCATTTCTTTATGTGGTAGACCAGTTATCATCCAAGGCTATAGAACCCGATCTGTCCTGCTATTTACCCATAGCTGGTGGGGGGGGGCAGGTAGATGAAGAGGATTCATACCTTTCCCAAGGGTATTAGCACATAAGTGAATGTAATGGATCTGACTGGAATTTGAACTCAGCTCTCTGATTTCTCAATCCTAGACATTATCCTTTACTCCACCATGCCTCCCACAAAGAGAGATGGTGTTTATCAATCCACCCACGGGGATCGAATGTGGCACAAGGCCTTTTTAATGTGGGTATATCTGAGCCCGTAGGCTCAGCCAAAAATAAAACCCATCTAAACCCGTCCAAACGGGCTAGTTCCGTCAACCTCCCCGAACGAAACCCCACCCTTTGGCGGAGCCTCGTCCGGGTTCCCCTCTGCAAGCAGAGAGTTCGCCAGACACCCGACAGCTCACAAAGCGCAGATACTACACTTTGATCCTAGCCACCGGGCCAAGCGGGTATTCTTTTTATCGATACAAAGAGAGATTAGCACTGCCAATTAAACACCATTTCTTTTAGAAATCCTATGAAGGACCCATAATTCTGATAATCTACAAAGTTAGGAGACAATAATTGTTTCCAAGTATACCCATTTGCTAGGGTGGCTATCTAATCTCTGTTGCAGGCAGCCACTCATACATTTGTATTTCTTAGCATCCACAGAGCCAACCTGTGGTTTATACTGCAACTATGCTGGGTAGATGTTACAGCTACTGGAAGAGAACACACAATCTGGTATGATCAACAATTTGAACAAAGTCAGGATGCTCAAACCCTTGATCATAATGACTTGTGACTGTGCTAGCATAACCGTCGACAGCTTCCAAGTAGTGTTGTCAACCTAATTTCATTCATAAGTCTTGGGTCAGTCCATGGCATAGTTTTCTGGCACTTTCTAACAGTTCTGCATGCTGAGACAATCTCCTCCTAATCTCCTTCCAATCATGGGATCCAGGTTCAAATCTCATCATCAGTGATCTGAAAATGCTTTAACAACTTATCCACATACTCATAAAGTCAGGAAATAATTTGAAGTCACTAATAACATCTTAATAACCATGATGAGAAATAAAAATTATTATTTAAGCTATTTAATAAGATTCACTTTTTTTATTAGCCATGGAACACTGGTTCTCATACAATCACTGAAGTTAAGCAATGTCAAGCCTAGTCAGTACCTAGATGGGTAACTGCTTGGGAATACCAGGTGCTGTAAGCTTGAATATGCTGGTGGAGTAATGGATAATTGCTCAGAATCAGAGAGCTGATTTCCAATACCCATTGGATTCGTTATATTCACATACACACAAATACTGTTGGGAAAGGTATGAATGCACCTTTTCTTCCTCCCAGATATGGGTTAATTAGTAAGACTTGTATAACTAAATAATTATCTCAAAAAAAAAAAAAAAATTCTTACAATCTAATAATATTTTCTGGCTTTAAAATAACCTGCAATTGGTGGATAAGCTATAGAAAGTGAATGAATCAATAAAAAAACTCTTCCCCTCGCTATGGGTTAATTAGTTAATTAGTAGAAACTGTATCAGTAAATTATTATTAAATGATTACAGCCTAGACATATTTTCTGGTTTTAAATAACATGCTAATGGTTGATAGATTGTAAAAAACATATCAATCAATCAATTATTAGCCATAAACAGGACATGTGAACAATAAGGATGTTCCAAAGAAAATAAGAAGTAGAAAGACATTCATAGTTATAATTAGAAAGATACAGTTGAAATTTATGAGACACATTATGAGGAAGGACAGCTTGGAACATTTAATACTCATATGACATACTGAGGGAAAGAGGCTCTTCTTCAGGAAGCGGCAGAGGAGAAGAAGAGGGTTTTTCTCATTGGAGAAGGTATTGTGGCTGTAGTATCTGTTCTGTGCCGGAGACCTCCTCTCCTCCTTTGCATTCTCCCCATCCGCCATTCCATGGACAGAATCCTTGGGCTTGTTCTGTAACATCTGTTTTGTAGCGGTGATATGACCGGCTATGACCAGCTTGGACCAGCGGCCCAAGTGGAGACACTCAGATCCCCATGTTAAAAACTCACCTTGTATCACAACCTGACTCAGTGGGGAGTCAAGATAAATACTGAATATACTGAGGGAAAGAAGTGTAAAGGGAAACAGCAAGTGAGTTTGTGTGAATGGGTGGCAGAGTAGAAACAAGGAGGAATGGTAAAGTGTCAAATGTTTAGAGAGACAAGGGACAGGAAGTTGGGGAGGGCCATGATTACTGACATCCTGAGTAAACATGATACATAAATGATGATGATAGAAAATTCTTATTAACCATAAGTGAGGTTTTCTTTTGTAAGTCATTGCTATCCACTGCAAGGGACGATGATGCTTCTCTTCAAGAAGGAACAGCATGTGCATGAATGAATTACCTAAATCCAGACCAATTCTCTTGAGATCCCCTCCAGAATTCAGCAGCAAAGTGGGATACAAGATGACTGGTAGAGGATAAGTTGCACAAGTGTATGCATAAGTGGTCAAATGAAGCTTTAATGCAGGCAATACCTTTCTAATGCTTGCAACATGTGTACACTCAACCAGTTTTCCTTCTTTTTGACTGGTTGCCATCAGCGGCTAGAGAGCTTAATTTATCTGGCTATTTAGTATATTGGTAGGTGAAAAAAGATGGATCAATGCCTTTTCCAAGGTTATTAGTCTAAAGTAAATTCAACAGATTATGAAGGAATTTGAACTCTGCTCATCATTTTTGCATTATTAATCATTATGCTATCTACACATTCATCCTGTAAGTATGTCTTATACTCCAGCTTCTTTAATCTGGTAATTCATGATTCAGCAATGCTCATAGTCTGGCAACTCCCATGATACTTTTTTGAATCAGCCACCATTAGATTGTTGAGCAGTTACCAGGGTAGAACCACACATTATTTATAACTTTCGGCAGCAGCCGACAGCAGCAGGCTGTTTTGGTGATGTGGTCTTTCTCATTTCTTATATATAGTTTTCATGTTTACCGCTTCAGGAGAGTAAATGTATATTATATTTTAGTTTTAGACTTCTTTTTAAACCTTTTTATTGCAGGAAACAATAAAAACCTTGTTTTGTCCTGGGTATGATGTTAAACTACATCCGTGTCCTGGGTATGATGATAAACTATGTCCAACAGCAAGGCCTCTGATAATACGTTTTTGAAAAAATAATGTTGCTAGCTGTACGTTTTTGAAAAAATGATGTTGCCAGCTGTACGTTTTTGAAAAAATGATGTTGCCAGCTATATGTTTTTGAAAAAATAATGTTGCCAGCTATACATTTTTGAGGAAAAAAAATATTAACAGAAATAGATTTTTGGCAAAACAAAAATATTACCAGGAAAAAAAAAAAAAAAAGTTGTCAGCATTAAATGAGCCATTGAGGTTGATATTCCATAAAAACAAAACAAACCAAACCAAAAACCTTGTTTGGAAGCATTGATGATTGTTTTATTTCCTGTTTTATGTTCAAACTTTGATAATATATAATATATATATATATATATATATATATATATGGAATGAGCTAGCAATACTATGTTAATAAGCTGGTAATACTATGTATTCCATAGGTTGTTTTAGGGGTGATTTCTGTATTCAGTATTTTTTGAGCCCAAGAGTTCTTGACTTAAGATGTCAGAGTATACCATTCAAAGTAAGAAAATCATGTCATGCACAGGGTTGGTGCAAGAGTTTTGTGCCCCACTCCTCAATCTATATGAGAGCCCCCCCCCACTCTACTACATCTCAATTTTCATAAGGTAGTAATCATATAAAATACAAATTTTATTGTGACATAATCATTTACAATAATGGATCATATGCAATATAGGTGAACAATTCAACTAGAAAAATTGAAAATAAATCCAATGTATCTAAATACAAATTAGAGACCACTCATAATAGATCAACCCATCATAAATAAATCAACATTGTCTGCAGCAATTTTTAACATCAGCTTGAGATTTTTCTTGTTAAAAAGTTGAATAATTTAACACATTTAATATTATAGAAAAAATAATGAATTTTATATAGTGTTTTATTTTTTTTTATTTTTCACAAAAAATGACCTCAGAATGACATCAAAATCTGCAAAAATTTTCCATCTTTTAATAATCAGTTGTGCTTAATTTAATTTATAATGTATATAAATGTAGATAGAAAATGTTGATAAGATAGTGAGGTTTAAAATGTGTTATATAGGAATAAAGTGTCACTGCCGACACTTGAGTTTGAACATAGATCGCCAGAGAGCAAACACAGGTGATCCCATTATTGAATTAAGTTGACCACGTGATCATAGAGGAAACGCATATGTGTAGGAAGTAGTTGACGACTATACAATCTCTATTCCTATTCTATCCTCTATTACTATACGAACCACTATTCTCTATTCTTTTCACTACTATTTCTCTATACCGATAACTATACAGACAGATTACTGTTTGAGCAAGTATTATCCAGCAAGTACTATTAGTGTGAGTGCTATTCAAAGGCGTCTGACACCAGTATTGTTCAACAGCATACTATAGTTGTATCTGCGATTACAAAGTCTCTACTACAATGAGCGTTATGAAAGTAAGAATGAGTATTTTTTGACATCACAAAAGTGTTAAGCGAGTGTTTGTTAATATCACAAAAAAATGCACTATCCGGGACACCCAATCACTCCTCTGGTTTTTAATACATGCTGGGTGGGGCTTGTCCTGTAGGTAATTTTCCTGATGTACAAACTGTATGAAAAATATGAGGAATTAAGTTACTTCTCTGTGAATCATAAATATATGGTAATGTTTGCTTACTATTCATTTTCTTATTGAAAAAACACCTTGAAGAACAAAAAAAAAACAATGACAGGTAACCATACCCACATACATATCAGACTAGTTAAACTTGATAAGTGACACAGAAAGAAAATATTTATTCTGATTCATGATGAAGCTGTCCATAAATCATGACAGTAGTGTATTTTTTTCAAAAAATGTCTAATATTCATATTCCCCTTTCTTATGTTTCATTTGTTTTTGTATTTCCTATAACAACAAAAAAATTTAGAGAATTTTAGACATTTGAGTCCAAATTCAAGAAAATCTTTTCTTTATATCTGAGACAAGAGTAGAAAATGGGTTTCTAAATTGTTGCTTGATTTTATGTCTACTCACTACTCAGTAGCAGTGGTCAACCAGACTAGCCTCACTGACCATTACTCCACACCAAGGCACCTATTGAATTAGGTTGGTTGATTTTATGATGTTTCGACCTTTGTTGGATTAATTAATGTTGAATTTCTTATGGGTCACCCATTGAGGATTAAAGTTACTACTCAGTAGCAGTGAGCAACCAGGCCAAGGCACCTATCAAGTTACAATCTGAAGGGACATTGCATTTAAAGTGATCGTACTAGAATTGTTCTTAATGGCTATTTGGATATGGTTTGGTTTGTTTTGTTTTATGGCATATCAACCTCAATGGGTCATTTAATACTGACAACTTTTTTTTTCTTGTAATATTTTTGTTTTGTCAAAAATCTGTTTCTGTTAATATTTTTTTCCTCAAAAATGTATAGCTAGTAATATTATTTTTTCAAAAACGTATAGCTGGTAATATTATTTTTCAAAAAAAAATTGCTGGTAATATTATTTTTCAAAAACATAGCTCATAATATTATTTTTTCAAAAATGTATAGCTGGTAATATTATTTTTTCAAAAATGTATAGCTGGTAATATTTTTTTAAAGAACGTATTGCTGGTAATAATTTTTTCAAAAATGTATTGCTGGTAATATTTTTTTTTTCTTCAAAAATTTATTTCTGGTAATCATTTTTTACAAAGTATTTCTGGTATTAAATCTATTTTTACACCTTCATAATTCTTTTTACCTCAGTTCCGGGGTTAACTATTTTCCCATAGCTGGGACCCTAACAGGTGTCACCACCTCGAGTCAGAGTGGACCTGGGAACACCAGCAATTAAGAGGAGGTTCCATGCTCCTCAAAGCCTCCTGATCAGAGGCCTTGCTGTTAGACGTAGTTTATCATCTTACCATGGACGTGATATCAATTGGATTATAGGTAAATGTTGAAGCTTAAATAAGCATGGAATAATACAACACAAAATGTACGTTAACAAAATGTATTGAAACAAAGAATAGGTACACAATATTTACAGTTAGTTTGGTATATTCTTGGGAAG